GTTAAGTTCAGTAGTCAAATTAGTCTCAAGGTGTAACAGGTAACTACTGAACTGGTAGTTAAGAGATCTCTGGATTCCAAAAATTCTAGCTAGGATTCTTCTCTTTTGGTGAAAGATGTTACCAAAGATTTCTTGGTTCCACATGGTGACCAGAGTCTTGAAGGAATCAGTGGATTGAAGGAGGTTGGAATGATCTGAGAATGCCCTACTGATGATGTTAGGAAAGGATGGGTGGCTAGCCCACATTGGCTCAAACCTGAAGGGCCTTGGTAGGTTATTGTTTGGAGACCCTACCAAGTTAATTTTAAGAGGACATTAGTCTGAGTGGGTCCTAGGGAGGTGCATCACAGATGCCTCAGGGTACTGTTGAATCCAACCTTCATTGGCGAAGCACCTATGTATTCTTTCCAGGATTAGAGAAGTTCTATTACTATAACTTTTATTAGTCCAAGTGTATTTACTTCCTTTATAGCCTAGGTCTAAAAGGTTACACTCATTTATACAGTTCCAGAACATATTGCTGCGGCTGAGGGTTATGGGATTGCCCCCAAATTTATCCCTGGCCTTCAAGACTTCATTGAAGTCTCCACCCACAAACCATTTGGTTGTGAGGTTTTTTGATATTGTGATTAGGTTCTCCCATAGGAGTTTCTTATTGGCTAAAATATTACTAGCATAGATCGCAGAGAAGAGCCATGGAGGGTGGTTGGGACTTACTTTTACCATTGCTGGAAGCATTGAGGGGTCGTGGACACTTCTTCCACTGCCACATACTCTTCTTTCCACATGAACACTATTTCCCCAGAGAGCCCTACTGCCGGAGACTGGATGATCATATCAAATTGGAGCTCTTGAGCCGGTTTCTGGTGGTCTGCCATTTTTGTTTCAAGCAGAACAAGCATGGCTGGCTTGTACATTTTCACCATTTCCATACAGTGCCTCTTGAATTCGGCACTGTTTCCCCCCCTAACATTCCATATGATGTAATTCATCAGTGGAGTTGGGGGTGGTTGGTGAGGTCCCTCTTGAGGGTTTCTTAGTCCTTACGGACATTTCGTTGGAGGTGGAGGGGACTTCCTTTGAGGCTCAGCACTGGAGTTAGATTCAGTAAGGGCTTGATTGGGCCGTGGGTTTGGATGGAGACCAGGCTCATTCCACAGTTGACCATCTCTCTGGGATAGAGAACAACTACCACATCGCTAGTTTCTGTGCTGAACTCTATCGCTCTCGCCGAGTCTAGTAGGATCGAATCCGTTCGTGGTGTGGCATAGATTGCTCCCTCTTCCTCTGGGGCATTTTTCTTCTTGAGGATCTCTAGGGCTTTGGAGATTCCTAATTTGATGTTGTGGAGAGTGGGTGAATTGCTCTTCTCTCTTGGAGAAGAAGATGATGGCTTGTGATGAGGTTGGTGGTCGATCATTACGAAGACCGGCTCCGCCGATGGATCTTCCTTCGTCAGATCTGGGAAGAATGGTAGGGTTTGGAAACTCTGCAGTATGTGGTTGCTGAGTGTTTGGGGGTCGGTTATCGATGAGTTGCTGTCTCTTTTGACCGTCGACTGCCGTATGAGAGGCCCAAATGTCGCTAGTGCTTTGCTCAATGCTTCCACTGTGACTCTGGCTAGGTGAGCTGGGTTTTGTACAATCAGGGTGACTTTTTGATTTACCAGGGTGAAATTGTAAGAGAGGCCCTGGCCCTGAAGAGCAACCTCCAACCAAGAAGCCGGTTGGTGGTCCGGTGATGGCGGTATGGAGGTGATGATAGTTGGTAGTATTTCATTTTCCATTTTTGTGTTTTTTTGCATTACTACTTTGGGTAATGAAAGGGGTGATCTTAAGAGACTGACGTTCCATCAGAACTCCCTTTAGTGTCAAATCTCGGTCAGTGGAGGGGTTACTGAAAATCGGTGCTAGGGGTGTGGATTGGTCATTAATTGGGTATCTAATGGAATCGACGGCTTGAGTCTTTTCATCTGGAGATGGGGGGGGGGGGTGGGGGGGTACTACCGAGTAGGCTACGTTGTATTGGTTGGTG